ACAACTCCTCGATGCGGTGGAAGAGTAGAAGTGTTGGTCCTGTTTGTGAGTATAAGGTGAATTGCAGAAGATGAAGAGAGAGGAGGAAGGAGGAGGGAGGTTTCAGGTTTGAGATGAGAGAGGAGGGAGGAGGGAGAAAGTAGAGGAGAAAGAGAAAGTATGAAAGAGGCGGATGGCTTAGGGAGTTTAGGCCCTTTAGGGTTACCACTTAGGCACTTACCCGGATGTTTTTAAAATGTTAAAAAAAAAAAAGTGGTTTTTTTTCGGATATTCGGATATCCGAAATCGAAATTTTTGATATCTGATATCTGATCCGATATCCGATCCGATATCCGAAATTTTCAGATCGGATGCGGATCGGATTTTCGGATTATCAGATAGTTTTGCTCAGCCCTACAGACGTCTGTACCACAAAAATTTCACAATATAGGAGTGTAAGATGATAAGTGAATCTCAACTAACTTATATCAGACGATAAGCATTTGGAGTTGATGAATTCAAACTCCTAACATTTAGGTTATGTTTGATCTGCCCAATATAATATGAAATTATATCAAGGGGTCTATAAACTTATCTTATTTTATTTGAACTTATACATTGTACTCTGTAATATTTTGTTTGAACTTATTCAAATTATCTACTACCTTCATTAATTTTTAAAATTTCATTGTAAAACTTTGTCAACTAACAAACAATAAATCCCACCAATTTTATTTCATTTTATATTTTGAGAAGTTAAACTTTCCTAAATATAATATTGCAATAATTTTAATCCGTAAGAGCCTGTCTATTAACAACCAATAAATAGTAAGTCTTGTGTGTGGTCACCACATGATTTGAGTTTGATATGCATCTTTTCTTTCACATTGGGATTCTCGTTCCCATCTGCTCCATTTCGCTCCAATCAAGTCCGATGTTGAAAAGAAGAGATCACAGATTCACAGACGACAAAAGAGTTTAGGGCAATAGACTATAATGTACTAATTGAACCAAAGCAGAACACAATTGGGCTTAGAATTAAGACTTGAGTTGGAAAGTTATCTCATACAATTATATTAGCATATTGGTGGAGCTCCCTTGATTTGTGCTACGCTTTTTCTGAAGAGAAGGTATTGGGTGCGGACTGGCGCACGGAAATTTGCGTGCGGCAGACTTGGCTGATATATTTCACTTGTGGGCTGATATGTTTCATGTGTTGGCTGATATGTTTCATTTGTTGATTGATATGGTTTTTGTGTTGACTAATATATTCCTTTTGTTGGCTGATATTTTTTAAATTTTTTTTTGATATGTTCCTTTTGTTGGCTGCTATCAAACATCATTTAGCTAATATGTTTGTTTAGTTGGATGATATCTTTATTTTGTTGTCTGATATGTATATTTTAGTTGTTGGTTTATATATTTCATTTCGTTAGCTGCTATATTTATTTTGTTAGCTTACCTGTTGCTTTTTTTTGCTGATTTCTTTCTTTTGTTGTTGGCTGATAAGTACCTTTTGTTGGCTGGTATATTCCTCTTGTTGGCTAATGTGTATTTTTTGTTGGCTGATATATTCCTTTTGTTGGCTGCTACATTTTTATTAATGTCTGATATGTCCCTAATGTTGACTAGCTAATATCTGACATAAATTGGCTTATACGTTCATTTTAATGGCTAATATGCATCCTTTGTTGGCTAATATGATATAAAATACAATATATTTTATTTCCTTCTCTTTCTCCTCTTTCCCCCCTCTTCCTCTCTTGCATTAGCCAAGAACCCAAAATGTGTAAGCCAACAACCCAAAATGTCAACAACCCAAAATAAGCCAACAACATAAAATGTATCAGCCAAACTCAAACTCACACACTCCCTCACTTTTCACCACCCCCACCAACCATCGAACCACCTCCAAACTCACACCAATTCGAACGACTCACACCACCGCAACCAACCACCTCCAAACTCACACCACCGCAGCTAACCACTTCCAAATTAACACCATCGCAGCCAAACACCTGCAAATCGCACAAATTTAGCCGATTGCGCAGTAGTTTCGATTTGGAATGAGAAGCCAATTTGGTGGTGCGATGGTAAGCAATCGAAACGAATTAACACCCAAGCAGTAGTTACGATTGTAGTACATAGTTTTGTCCACCGTCATCTTCGTCCATCGTCATCTTCGTCCACCGTGCATCGCAAATCGCAAATCGCACTTCATCATCATCTTCGTTTTGAGGGGTTTTTGATTCAATCTTCAATTTGGTTTCCTGATTCAAGCATAATGATCTTTGTTTTGTGAATTATGAGCCCTAAAATCCCAATTTTCTTTGAGAATTGATGTGAATGGGTAATGTGTTTGAAGGGGAAAGGGTTGCCGCACGAACTGCTGCACGCAATAGTTTGTGTTTTCTGAATCGGTAGATAGGAGTTGGAATTGTTGTTGTGGTCTTTGGCCTTGTTTTGTTTGTGGAGTCAAAGTCCTAAAATGGAGTAAAAGAGTTACCTCCAAAATACAACTACAACACATCTAGTACATTGTAAAGGGAAAAAAACGTCTAGTACATGTGTCACAATTTGATTTGTCCAAAAAAAAAAAAAAAGAAATCAGAAAACCAAGCAAGCTTCCCCTTCCCCTACCGGTCCACCCTAACCTCCACCACCACTGCCAAGCCCGCCGCCCCTCCCTCGTCAGAATGCCGCGTTTCCCCCAACCTTGGCATCGCCGTTTTCCCCCCTCTCGAAAACCCCCTCCCATTCCTCACGCAACCACCAAAATCGCAGCCAAAAACCACCAAGGAAATCGCAGCCAAAACCCCAAAAACCACGGAATTTTCAGGGGTGGGGGGAAAATGACGACGCCACTGTTCTCTTTCTCCCCTCACGACAATCGCTCCTTAGCTCCCACCACCGCCCTTTTCATATGCTCAAATTTTCCGATGTTCGTGAAAAACTCTAAAAAAAATAAATCAATTTGGGGCTTTTTGTTTGGTTAAGCTACTCTTGTAATTCGTTGCACCAAATGAATATACGTTGGATTGTGAGCATTTTGATACAAATTTCATGCATTTTGGTGAAGAAATGAGTAGGTTCCCATTATGCCATGAACTCCATACGTGAGCTTCAATGGAGTTTCCTCCATTATTGTCTTCTTTAAGCTTAAAAATGGGGTTGTCGAGGAAGGAGGGGAAGGGGAGGGAGGTCGGCGGCCGCCGGCGCGACTGCCGGAGCAGGTACCAGCGACAGGGGGATGGCCTGGGCTGGTGGCTTGGCTGGCTCCTTGGTGGCCGACTGTTTTTTATTTTTTGTTATTTTTTTTTATTTTTTATTTTTGACCAATCACAGGCCGCCAATAACAGGTTACATGACCGGTTGGGACCATTAAAAAAGAATGGTGGGTAAAGGTCAGATTATTAAAAAAATATCTCAAAGGTGGGATTATTAAAAACGAACGACCCAAAGGTGGGATTATTCCCATGAATTTTTCCTTTTTATTATTATATACTTGAATTGTATTATGTATTGAAAAAAGCTACTTTTTCGAGTTAAATTAATCCGGGAATGTGATTGGATAACAAAACGTCAATTGTCAAGATTTCAAGATCACTAAAAGTTCACTATGATTTTTTTTATTTTTTTTATATGTCATTTACTTCTTTCAAATAGCTATCCATGTTTTGTATTAAATTTATTGTTCTTTGAAAAAAATACACAATATTAGGCTATATTTAGTTTACCTTATATTTGTTTATCTGATCGATATGGACTTATTTTTTCTCATTTGATTCGTTTTCTTTATTAGGTATGATAATATATAAAGAAACACGATAATATATTAAGAAACAAGGTATCAAATAATGTTCTACTAGATTTGTATTAATGTGTGATTAATTAATATGTGATTTTCATATGTTTTTAAATTAAAAAAGTTAACAATAGATAATCTATAATAGCTAATACTAAAGTAATTACCGCTGACATCATAACTATCCACGTGGCAGCTTCTTATAATAAATTTCCCCTCCAAAACTAGTATTGACATCATTCTTTTTATTTATTTATATTTTTTATTTTAGGTTAAAGCTAATATTTGGAAATGATTGATTAATAATACATTTTTCTAAAAGTTTTTATAACTAAATTGACTAAATACACAATTTCTATTCCAATCGAGTAAAAATAATTGACGGTCTCTTTCACATTTTTTCCCTTCCTACCTAGGTTTTTTTAAAAAACAATCTTGTGCATTTTATTAGTGATTGTAGAGTTTGGATTTTTCACTCTTTATTACTTCTTCAAATTTCCTATAATGAATAAAAAACGAACGCTAACATTTTTAAAATTTTATTATAGCTATGAAGTTAATTAGAATATTTAAAATCATGTCCTTCATTTTAGCTAAATTAATCTAACGAGAAGGATCACGGTTTGTTATGTTTTGCTTAAAATATTTATATTACACACTTACAAGTATATTTTTATTGTTAAAACAAAATACTACTTCCGTTTCCGAAAGTTCGACTCACTTACTATTCAAGAGGTCAAAATAAAATAACTTTGACCACATTTAATGACTTATACAATATAAATAAATTAGCATATGAGATCTTGTTAGATTCCCCTTATTATAAACTTTTCTAATATCAACTTTTTATAATTTTCACTTATACACAGCCAAAGATATTCATGGTCAAACATGTTCATTGGAGATCGCACAAATGTAAAACGAGTCAAACTTTCAAGAATGGAAAGAGTATTTATATTACATACTTACAAGTAAATTTTTTATTATTAAATTGCATCGCACGGGACTAACTTAGTTGTATATAAAATGATTATGAGCAAAAGCGGATGAATAATGCCGATGCGGGTGAAACTCTATCCAATCTGAACCCGAAAGGTCATCCCTCCTTAAGTAACCAGTTCGAAGGCCATTTACCAAGCCCATACTATTATTTGGCCGGTATGAAATCAACCCTTTTTATTTTTCAAAGAAAACCGTACGGAGTAAAAAAAAGAAACAAGAAAACCAAATACAACGATGAAATGAATTGAAAGAAAAAAAGTAATTGCAGAAAATTCAATTAAGAAATAGGCTAAAAAATAAAGAGGAAGAAACGAAAAAAAGAAGAACCCTAATTTTCGTAGCGAAGCGAAATTGGTTCGCATCGAATTCTTTGAAGATGAAGAGCTTTTACGAGTAGCAGTTAATTTATTTAGGGATTCATTCAATTATTTTCCCCTTATTCACACTTTCTCTCTCCTCAGCCTCTCACTCCGGTAACACTTTCTTCACCGCTTAAACCCTAATTTTCTATTTGTATTTTCTGAATTAATGTTCATTTTTTTTTGGGTTAATTCTTGCTTTAATGTATTAATTACAAATGTTTGTTGTTTCTATGGATAATTGCAGCTTTATTTTTTCTTGATTGTTAGCGAAAATGCGGAAATTTGTTTAATATGATGATAGATTAGGGTTATAATCAACAAATTTGAAGTAATTTTTTGGTCTTGTTGCGGTATGTGAATGCATTGTTGCATTTGGGACCTGGAAGAAATCAGCTTCATGTTTAATTTAGGTGGTTGTATTAGTATTTGTCATGGGAATTGCTGTATGAAAGAATTTGGTGTGATTTATATGGTGTGGAAATCCTGTTGGAAGTACTGTACTTTGTGTGTGGTGATTTATGTGAAATTTGCAATTCTGTAGGGTTTTGTGACTAATTAGATTTCGGGATAGTTGAACTGATGGAAGGGGACAGAAAGGGTGCTCTTAAAGGACGGCAAGGCACCTCATTTAAGAAGAAAGGGGCGAATAAGAAAGGAAGATGGAATAATCCTAGGCCGGAACATATTGAGAATACTCAGGTTCCTAACCCTACTGACACTGTTTACCGGATTCTCTGCCCATCTAAAAAAATTGGGAGTGTTATTGGCAAAGGTGGTGGCATAATTAAAGTCTTGAGAGAAGAGACAAAGTCGAAAATAACTGTTTCTGACTCAATTCCTGGATCGGATGAGCGGGTGATAATGATTTATAGTCCTCCTGAAAAAAGCTCGAATAAAGAGGCGGATGAGGGGAATGAGATCATGCCATCACATTGTCCTGCTCAAGAAGCTCTCATGCGAGTTCATGACAGGATTATTGAGGAAGACTTGTCAACTGGGAAGGAAGACGTTGAAGATGAGAACTGCATGGTCACTGCTCGTCTTCTTGTTCCGAATAACATGGTAGGATGCCTTATCGGCAAAGGTGGAGATGTTATTCAGAGATTGAGGAGTGAGACTGGTGCTAGCATTCGTGTGCTTCCATCTGAGCAGCTTCCTTCATGTGCCTTAAGTACCGACGAACTTGTGCAGGTATTGTGTGTGTTTTTTTATTTTTATTTTTATTTTTTTGAATTATTATTTTTTGTTATTGTATTTTTTTGATTGTTGATACACCCTGACATTAGAGATCTTCGGAAACAATAAGGTGAAAATGGCTAAATTTTACTAGTGTTTGGCCTCTTAACAGAAATATTTTGTTGATCTAGTTTAACATTATAGAACAGTGATTGCATTGAATTCACACACATATATTTTTATATAGAGTATGATTTCTTCTGAAGAAGTGTGGGCTCTTTGTTTCTGTTTTTGTTCTATAAACAAGCTAAGGTTAAATTATTAGTATTATCATATCATGGGGGTGTTTAGTGTTTAATTTATACTGTAAATCTACTTGACCTTAGCCTCTTTCTGGACTTTAAAATATTGGAGGCTTGTAGCCAACCAGGCATAACCTCCAGAATGCTTATGTTTCTAAAGTTACATTGTAACTCTCTCTGTTATCTAGGCAAGACCCTGGCTATATCTCTTCAATTTCCATTGGTTCATCTTGTGGGGATGTTGAAAAATTGGATGACAACTGATCATATGAGATTTACTTTTCTTTTCTCTTAATTATTTTAGTTTAATGCCATGTCCTTGTCTGGCTTGTGTAGGAATCTATGATAAGCCCTTTCTTGGATTATCAACATGATTGATTTTAGAATAATGCAAATGGTTTGAAGCAACACGTAAAAGGATCCTGTAGATTCTTAAAGCCAACTTGGTACTCGAGAATCGGGGAATATGTCCTTTATAATGAAGTAGGAGTTCTGAGTTCTTTATTCATGCAAGCAGCACAAATGTTTATTATTTACATAGACGGTCTCCTTTGACACTAACCTCACTAGAGCATGTGACACCAACCGCTAGAACTATATTTAGTTGCTGTTAGATTTGATGATTGTTTATTCTGCTGTGTTTTAGGAACTTTGAGATAATCTTCAGCCTTCTTTCTTCTTACTATCTCATGTTTGCTTGAAATTTGTTTGAAAATTCCTCATAAATTTGGGTTGCATTTTATATCTATGTTATCTTTTTCTTACACATAACTATTATTTGAAGTGCTTATCTGATAATACTCTATACTTGAAATGGCTTTTTTCTGTGCTATAGTTTGGAGTTAGTTGATTAAAAATCTATGTAACTAAGGGAATAGAGGACAGGCAAAAATTGTTTTGCTGGATTTCCAGCTTCTCCACTAATAATCTTGGTCACTGATCACCCACGTCTTCAGTCTCCTTTAATACTCAATTTATCATCAATTGTTGTTCATTCTTAATTTATGTATATTTTTGGCTTAAACAGATGCAAGGAAAACCATCTGTTCTGAAGAGAGCACTCTATGATGTTTCAACGTTATTGCATCAGAATCCACGCAAGGAGAAAGCATTTAATTATTCCCTGCTGTCCCGTGGCCCTGGTTTTCAAGCTGCGGGTCCTCCTTTAACAAATTTGCCTCCACCACGTGGAGGTGACCCAATGTGGTCTCCACGAGATCCTGCTCGACACATGCCACCACCACCATGGATGGAGGACTTTGGGCGCCATCCTGGACACAACCCTGGCGCTTTTGATAAAGATTTGACCAGGCCTGGTGTGGAACCTTCAGGTGAATATTCCTTGAAAATTTTATGTCCAGTCAGTAAGATTGGAGGAGTGATTGGAAAAGGAGGCATGAATGTGCGACAGTTACAGCAGGAAACTGGTACAAGTATTCATGTTGAAGATGCATCTACCCAGTCAGAGGAGCGTGTTATTCGTGTTTCGGCTTTTGAGGTAAATCTCTGTTCTTCTAACAGCTGCTGTTTTAAAGAATAACGTGTAGGCCACACCGATATGCCATCTGATTATCCTTAATTTGGATGTGATCATTTCTATCATTGCAACTTCTGCTGAAACTGAAACACTAGCTGCTATTCTGTACCATTGATTACTGTATTTGATATGTTTCAGACTTTGCGAAACCAAAGATCACAGACAATTGATGCAATTCTCATGCTTCAAAATAAAGTTAGCGATGTATCCGAGAAGGGTATAATTACTTCAAGGCTGCTGGTTCCCTCTAATAAGGTTGGGTGCCTCCTTGGACAAGGAGGCACAGTTATAAATGAAATGAGAAGGAGAACACAAGCAGACATTCGTGTTTATTCTAAGGATGAAAAACCCGAGTGTGCTTCAGAAGATGAAGAGCTCGTGCAGGTAATAAGATTAATGAACATGTACTGTTGATTTTGGTCTCTCTCTCTCTCTCTTTTTTTTTTTTTATTTATTTATAATTTTTTTTTAACCAATGTAGTCCATTTACTGGTGATTTTGGAATGTGCTCATGTCAATTGTAAAATAATCTTTTCAGGTGTCTGGAAGTTTTGCAGTAGCCAAAGATGCTCTGGCAGAGATAGCATCAAGGCTAAGGGCTAGATGCTTGAGGGATGCTACTGTCACTGCAGAACCAGCTCCACCTCGACCTAGACCTGTTCATGGATATGGTCCCACTGGAGGTTATCCACGAGGAGGACCCTTGGGACCTGATCCAGCTGGAATGGGATCCGCTAGTAGCTACAATGCTGTCAAGGTAAATCCTCTCCTGCTAGAAAGTTGCTTGTTATTAAGATTTTCTTGGTGTTACTCTTGTGGTCTGCATTGCAGAGGATAGCTCTTGTTCTTTCATGGTGTGAACTGTGAAGTGTACTGAAAAGAAAAAAATAATGATTATGAATTTGCCTCAACCATCTACATATAAATAAAGGGGGATGTTTTATTTTACATGGCTCAACCATCTACCGATAAATTGAATGCTATCAGTGGTGTCCTTTCTACAATGCACTTTCGAAAGGTTACTGGTGTGTTATCTGCATATTTGTGCCTCCGAACTGCCACAAAAATGCAATTAGAAGTTCACGTCTGACATGATCACCACCTAATTAAATTTAAATAAAAGCCAAGGAGTTGGCAAAACACCTAATAAGTAACAAAAGGGTTTCTGCCGTCAAATTATAGTGGTTGAAATTGCAGTACCTTTTATGTGAGTTCCTTTATCCCTCCTCTCACCTCTGGCGTAACTGCTGAAATTATCTAAAAACTGACTACCAATGAGCTTGGTTATTAGTAAACCAATGGCGTGTTGCTCTGGCTATCTGTAGTTGCAGAAACATTTGAAGTAGCTTTTTTCGCTTCTTTCACTTACTCTGCTCACCATTCTTATATCCTCTGCCAATTCCACACCACAAGCAGGATCGCGACCCCGAGGTCTGTCTCCTCATTTGGTCTAATTCTTTAAACCTCCTAGATTCTTGCTAAATGTTGACTTGTTGAGATGCTTGCCTCTGGATTCAAATCCAATTCTATCTGGTGGTCACAAGTATGAAAATCATCTTAAACGAGAGAGAAGTCAAGTTTGCAATGAAACCCAGATATTTGAAACCCATCAATTTTGCATTGTGCTGGTGCTGGAAATAGGCATGTAATCACATATTGGGATGGTGTTTGGGAATGTTGCCTTAAAGGTAAACTAGTGTATGCAATGATGATGACGAAGGTGGTCCGGATGGTTGCAGCTGGATAGAGAGGGGGGGGGGGATAGGATGTAATGTGATAGAAACTAAAGCAGCATATGGAAAAAGGTGATTTTCAGGGACTGCCTATAGGGCACCTCAAGGTGCTATAGATTAAGAGGCACGAATCAGGATTTTAAATTATAAATGATCATTTGGTTTTCAAAAAATGATTATTGTGAACCTGTGTTTTTATTTTTTATTTTTATTACTTCCTCCGTTTTTTTAATATTGCACCACTTGTCTTTTAAGGAAGTTTCACATATATTGCACCATATCCATTATAGGAAAAGAAATATTTGTGTTCACACTATAATTACCTAATACACCCTTGCTTTTCAACCCTTACTTTTTATTTTGTGTATATAATCACATGGGCAACTTGGTATTTCTACCTTTCTCTCTCATCCTTTTTTCCACTTCCAAAAAATTTGTGTCAAACCCTTATGGTGCAATAATAAAAGAACGGAGGAAGTATTATATTTTTTTTCATGAATACATGGTGCTTTACGCCCATAACATTGTGGTGTTTATTATTTATTATTTATTTTTTAATTTTTATAGCTTATCTCATAATTTGTGATTTTTTTTTTTCGTCATAATTTGTGATTTTTATTGTTATTAGTCACATCATGATGACACTTTTGCATTTCACATTTTGTGTTTTGGGTAATGGAAAATAGGTCCAATGTTGTTTGTTTCATACTTCCTCCGTTTCTATTTATTTGACCCATAGCCTTCGGCACAATATTTAAGGAGAGGAGAGAGAAATTGTAGTTTTGTGGCCCTTGTTGCACATGGCTTACCTTATTACCCCTAAAAGTTGCCCCCATGTGCACTTTATGAGGGTAATTTAGAGAATATATCTACAAAAAGCTTACCAAATATAGTATGGGTCAAGTAATATGATATTTCCATTTTAGGAATGTTAGTCAAGTAAATAGAAACGAAGGAAGTACATTATAATGGGCCTCCTTGCTTTTTCCTTTTTCAGCTATTTTGCTAATCTATGATCCAGTGTTCAACTGAGTTTTTATTTATTTATTAATTTTTTATATAGACTTTCTAATTTTATTTTCGTATTTAATTTTATTTTTAGCCCACCAATGTTTTATGGACTGTATTGTTTTTTTTTTTTGTTTTTTTGTTTTTTTTTTTTTTGCTTCAACGTTTTAACCACTTTTGTAAAACTTTCTTGAATTTTATTCTTGGTTTCTTTTAATACTCCCTTAATTTTTCTTAAATGCTCTTTTGTTTACTCACTTTACTCACCTTTTTTTTCAAACTCTTTTAAATGATTAATTTGTTATGTCCTTTTCTTTATATTGTACAATTCCTTATGACGATTCATGTTAGCCTGCCCCAAATCATTTTGGGACTAAGGCTTTGTTGTTGTTGTATTATTTTAGCATATAATTTTTGTATGCCCCCTGATTTAATAGTGAGTTTTTTGTTTTGACTGTCAGGTACTTTACTTTCATAATGAGATCTAATCCTTTTAATTGCTTTTCCTTAGGGTGGAATGCGCGACTTTGAGCCTCCTAGTTACCCAGTCCCGCCAAGTGCATCTAGGTACTGATAATTATGACTTATCCTTGTGCAAAATTATTTAATATTCATTCTCATTTGCCTTCAAGCTGTTTTTGAATTTTTATTTATTTGCAAAAATCTTATTATTATAATTTTTAATATTTTGTTGCTTCTATAGGTACCCAAATCCTAACAGTTCCATGGAGTCTCATAGGTACTCAAATCCTAACAGTTCCATGGAGTCTCATAGGTACTCGAATCCTAACAGTTCCATGGAGTCTCATAGGTACTCGAATCCTAACAGTTCCATGGAGTCTCACAGGTACTCAAATCCTAACAGTTCTATGGAGTCTCACTACCTAAATAGTGGGATTAGTTCTGCTCCTGGAGCAGGAGGAAGCTTCTATGCCAAAACTCCTGAGGTACGTTTTCTGCTATACCCCTTGTTACTTTATGCTCCTTTTGTAGCATAGATTGTATAGATAAATTATCCTAATGTTGATTTGGCGTTTGCAAGACCTATCCATTTGGGCTGGTTAGGTCAGATTTGGATTGGTTTCTCTTTGGGTTCGAGTTGTTATGGGTTAGACGAGTTCAGCGCACTTTTCTAAAGTTCTAAACTCTGCTCAACTCTAATTTTGAGGTTTTGAAGCCGGTCTGTAAAACCCATTTGATCCTGAATTTTACAGCTCATTCTGTTGGGTCAAACTTGTTTTTAAAACAGAAGGTCGATTTCGTGTCAGTTCTCTTTGTTTTTTTGACAAGTCTACTATTGGGTAAGAAGTTGAGTATATGGTTCATAAAACAATGAATATATATCAATAGTTGTAACATGAATTTCCTATAACTAAATTTCATGGGAAGGTGTGAAATGACATTTGTAGTATTCAGGGGTAATATTGTCTATATCTTGAACTTTTTAAAATTTAGACTGTCTATTGTGGTCCTGCTCTACACTGGGTTGATGCCTTATGGTGGTGCTTGTAATATCTTTAGGAAGTTAGAGATTAATTTAATACGGAGTAGGTCGTTAGCTAGAAATTTCTATGCTGAAGAGCAGCTTTCATTCTATCAGATTATCACATATGTGCTCATCTAGACATTTTTTTAATTAAACTCGGTCAAAATTCTGAAATTTAGATTTCACTTCCTGCACTGTCAAAATCGCTATCTTCATCAACAAGACATGAACAGATGGGTATGTGAGCCTTACTTAATATTCAATCTCTAAGTTTGAATTGGGGAATTTAGAGTAAGGCTTTGTATATGTTGGTCAGTGTTGGGTTACAATGGCTAGTATGCAATAAACAACAATTGCAATGTCTTAGTATGGATTTTGGCATCCCATTTTAGGTGGGGTTGAGTGAGTTCTGGATGGACACAAGCTAATCTCTTCTTGAGAAGGGTTGGGTGATTCCTCTTGTGAGGTTTGTGAACAATTTTGCAAAGAAATAAATAACGTGGAAAGTGCTAACAAGCATAGTGGAGATAATAGGGTCTGTTATTGCCTGGCACATAGGTACTAGGATACAATCAATTACTGAGTTCTTTGCATACAAATGTCTACCATACTGTTAAATTGGGCTAATCTCATGTAAGCAGTGGTCTACTTTTGAGGTCGGGAGTAATAAGTCTGGATTGGGTCGGGGTACATTTTGGTTAGTTTGCACTCTGAGCATTCTATGATTAAAGTAGAAATCTGAAACCAACTGGGTTTAGTGAAGCCCTGGCTTCTAATGACTGGAATGCTTTGTTAGTCTCTTTAGTTTCAATCATTACTCTCAGTTGACATGATGCAGCACAGTGGAAATGTGGACTGTAATTTGACCGTAGGATATCCAATGTTATCCAACTGTGTTTAGGTGGCTGCATTGCATTTTGGCACTGCCAAGGGTTACCCTTGATTTGAATCAAAACATTCACTTGCTTTTATATGGTCTTTGAATGTGGCTTTATCAGAGACGTGAAAAGAAAAACTGTGTATGCTGTGTATGATGCTGTTCTATTTATCTCATCTAGGCTCCTGGAATGAGAATGAAGCTTCATGATCCTTACCTTGGTGGCTCCGAGCCTGTGGCTGACATTCGTGGTGCTTCTGATCGTTATCCTCCTGCACCGGCTAATTACACCAATTATAGTGGGCCCAATAATACTCATCAGGGCTCTTATCCAGATCCGAAAGGACAAAGCTCTTATCACAGCATGGCTCCACAGCAAACTGCTTATCAGAACCACCATCAAATTCCTTATCAACAGAACAATGCACAACAGAGCCCCTATAGAAACATGAATGCCCAGCATAGTGCTTATCAGAGTGTCCCAGCGCACGGTTCCTACCAATACTAACTTCCATTTCTGAGCATTTTTGTACCATATAGCTAAAATTAATTAGTTTGATGATACTATCAATGGCAAGTTCAAAATGCAACCATGGTGGTTTAGAGTTCATTTTTGAATTTTCTTCTCTTTTCTCTGTAATGTTTTTGTGTATTGATTATCATGATCGTGCCTGTTCTGCCGAGGGAAGCTGTAAGCATATTGTAATATTAGGAGCCCAAAATGAATGATCTGCATTCTTGGCTTAATCATACAGATCATTGGAGGTTTTGTTAGCACTGAGGCGAAAAGATGTCGAGATTGGCTTAGGTTCAGATTAATTATATCAATAGTACTCAAAATCCTTGATTAACTATAATAGATGGCTGCTTTTATTTTTTATTTAATTTTTTTTTTTTCATGCTGATGAATTCTACATTAAGGCCTGAATGGTGTGGTTATCTTATTATGGATTAGACAATTGGTCTTACATGCATCCTTATGCACCTAGGATAGGTGCAACACCGGCCCATTAAAGAAGCCCACTTGCAAAATGCTCCCAATACAAAACACGACCCAATCCAAAACGAAACCTACCCACACCGTCACTTTCCAAACCCGATCCAAACTCCAAAACCATCATTTTCCAACCGCTGTATTTGTTTTTAAGTAATTTTTTTTTTTTTTCAAAATAACGTTTAGTCATTTCAAACATTTCTACAATTAATTTGATTTTCTCAATCTTACAAAGTTCATTCTCTCTCCTCTACATGATTTTAAAAACTGAAAATTTAATAATGGATATCAGAGAAGAATGAAAAATCAAAAGGATTCTCCCAATAAAAGGTAAATTTCTATGAATATCACTGACTTTGTAGTTAATTTTCGTCTGAATTTTTTGATACTCTATTCAGATTTTTTTGTTTCATAATCATATTAGAAAATCAATGCTTATGTTCATATTTTGAATGGTTATGTTCACTTTTTGAAATGCATATGTTCATATTTTTTATGCCTATGTTTACTTTCTGAAAAGTTAATGTTCACATTTAAGGGAACCTATGCATATGTTCATATTTTGCATGATTATGTTCATTTTCTGGAATTCATATATTCACATTTTTTTTAATATGTTCATATTTTTAATACTTATAAATTTATAATGCATATGTTTCATAATCATATTATTTTTTATTTCTTCAATTTTGTATGTTCATAATTAAATGCCTTATATTCATAATAATATTATATATGTTCATAGATAATTTCAAATATTCATAATGTAAATATTTGTTGTTCATGAAATATTCTCATTAAGTCTGTTTATGCATATGTTCTCTTTCTTAAATGCATATGTTCATATTTTTTACGGATATGTTCACCTTTTAAATACTTATATTCACTTTAAGGAAACCAATGCTTATGTTCATATTTTGAATTTTTATGTTCACTTTCTGAAATTCATATTTTCATATTTTTTATGCCTATGTTCACTTTTTGAAAAGCTAATGTTCACATTTAAGGGAACCTATGCATATGTTCATATTTTGCATGATTATGTTCATTAATAAAAAAAAAAATGCAAATAATCAGATAAAATTCAATTCATTACAATTAAGAAAATCATGTATAACCTAATCAATCAAAATTAATCACAAAGTCACCACATAAGAAATTGAAATTTACACATAGATCAAATTAATCGAACATAACCAAAAATCAAATGAATACAACTCATATAAATTAATCAAAAAAGTGAAAAAAAGGAGGAAAAATATAAAAACAGTGGAGAGAGAAAAAGAAAAACGTAGGAGAAAAAACAGAGGAGAAGAAAGTGATAATGAAAATTTTGATCGAAGTTCTGATGATAATTTGGATCTAAAGTATTATAGGAAAGAAAAGAGAAATGAGAGAATTTGAAAGAAGGAAACAGAAAATTAAAAAAAGGAAAGTAGTTACGCGCGAAGAACGTTGAGCTGAATTTGGAAGAACGTTGGGTGGGCTGCTTTGGGCCGCGTTTCATTCATAACATGCTACGTTTAAATGTTGTTGCAGCCATTCTAGCCGCACAAGCATGCAGCTAAGTATATGCCTTGATTAGAACTAGAATATTGTACGGCTTCAAGATGCTGCAAATTTAACTTACAGTAGGTTGATTTCTCTTAAATGACTTGAAAATTCTCGTCTATTAGACCTGTAACAATTCTAGGAGAAAACCTTCACTAGACATAAAAAATGATACGAAGTGCATATTTTATTCGGTTTTAAAAACTTGTCATTTATGAGACTAAGGGATAGCTCAGGTGGTTAGAGCTTTCCTTTTGGTTTCAGGAGATCTTAAGATCGATTCTCATCCCTTGCCCTTGTGGCTCTCTAAACACTAAAAAAAAAACAAAAAAAAAAACTAACTTGTCATTTATTCTTGTTCAAATCGTAACTAACCAAAACCACAAAAATATAAATCGTTCCCTCACATGAGTAGTGCTTTTCCAACTCTAATAATGCATTTATAGCTAACATACGAAACGTTAAAAAGTCTCAAAACTGACAAGAAAAACGTTAATTGTACCGTCAATACGACTTTTCCAACTCTATTGATGCATTTATAGTTGTTTCGGTTAGAAAACAATGGACTTTCGGCAGGTCCTTTCGTATGAATGGAGATGAGGCTCAACCCGAGAAATGTCCAAATTGAGGGTTTCCTGCACAATAAAGACACGTAAACTAGCCTCGGGGGTGGTTGCCGAGGAAGGTCCCTCCGATGCTAAAGTCAGCTCTCTTGAGAGAATAAGTTATGCAAGAGAAATAAATGCTTGAGGCTTATTGTGAATGAATGTAGATTGGCCAAGTTATGGCTTTTATACCTTTTCTCAATGAGGATGATTGGGCCCTTGAAGACAAAATGGACTGACCATGATGATTGGGCCCTTGAAGACAAAATGGACTGACCATGATGACTGGAGAGTTGAACGTTACTTTTGGGCTTTGTGATTGAACCTCAAAGGGAGACTGATGCCTTCATCACTCACGTCGAGCCCAGTCATCATGGTCAGTCCATTTTGTCTTCAAAGGCCCAATCATCCTCATTGAGAAAAGGTATAAAAGCCATAACTTGGCCAATCTACATTCATTCACAATCAGCCTCAAGCATTTATTTCTCTTGCATAACTTATTCTCTCAAGAGAGTTGACTTTAGCATTGGAGGGACCTTCCTCGGCAACCACCCCCGAGGCTAGTTTACGTGTCTTTGTTGTGCAGGAAACCCTCACTCCGGACATTTCTCGGGTTGAGCCTCATCTCCATTCATACGAAAGGACCTGCCGAAGGTCCATTGTTTTCTAACCGAAACAATAGTTAACATACTGTATGAAACATTGAAACGTCTCGTTACTAGCAACAAAAACATAAATCGTACCACCATACGTGTAGTGCTTTTCCAGCTCTAATGATGCATTTATAATTAACATATGAAACATTGAAACGTCTACTAACAACAAAAAAGTTCATGCTATTTGAATTATCAACCTTTCACTCTTTGTGGTTGTCTTTCTTCGATTCGATCGATGTACGTACCATTTGGAGGAGATGTTGTCGAGCATTGATTTGAGTCTTTGCACATTCAAACACACATAAATTTAACAATCAAGATCACGTAAAAAAAAGGAAGAAGATAACTTTGAAAAAATCAAATTGAGTGGCACACCTGAATATCTACAGTAAAAATATGATTGAAATACATACTTTTGCCAATAATATTTGGTGTTTGACTAGATGATGTGTTTGTAAATGGGAAGATTAGTACTACTGTACAAAATCAAGTAATGTTACTGTACTACTGTTTGCTTCTTATCTGTCCCTTTTGAGTACGGAATAGCTGTTTTTTTCACTTTGTGTGTTATTTTAGTGGTTAGGGATTGTTCTTTTAGTTTGATCAGAAATAAAGTAAGGAAGATTAAGTTGATCTCTTTGTTCTACAAGTAGTTTCTATCATCGGTCCTCTAGTCTATCTCTTTCACATAAGTATCACTATCACAGTATCACACCAAGATAAAACATTGAACTCCTTCTCCGGGATTCGTCTTAGAGAGTTTTGAGTCTAATTGATATTACGTTTGAGATTAGAGATTTGCACGAAAAAATAAGTTGAGAGGAAAGACATATCAAAAGTAGTATAAACATGTCAAGATTGATTCTTGCCAATTTAAGGGGACGGATGAAGTAATGGATGCTAGTAGTCTATAGTGAACGTGCTTGATTTCGACTTGGCCAAAAGTTAAAAATCTATTTTATATGTAGTTAAAGCTAACTTAGGTCTTGTTTGGTTCACCTTATTTTTGCTAGTCTGATCTGATCTGGTCTGATCTGATCTGATCTGATTGTCTGATTTGACCAAACTTTGACCTTAAGTGTACGATAATCTATAAGGAAAAAATATATCAAGTGGGGTCATGTTAGATTCGTAGTAATGCGTAGTTTATTAATATGTAATTTTCACAATTCTTTTCATTACGAAATTAAGAATATTTAGCGATAAAAAACCGCACATAAAACGATGTTCTGATCTGAACTTATTTTTTCTGATCTGATCTGATCTGAACTTATTTTTTCTGAAATAAGTAAAAATAAGGTGAACTAAACAAGGCCTTACATGTGACTGCAACAAGTCAAGTTGAAATAATGTGAGGCTCATCAATAGTTTGAAATGTTTTATATCTATTAATAAATTATGTATTTATTGTGTTGGTTTTTGTGCTTCATACGAATAAAATTGAGGTGAAGTTTTCAAATTAAGAAAAGTATGAAAGAAACTGATTTTAATTTAATTAAAGCAATAATTGTTTTATACACCCAGGTGTACCATGCGCATGGTACACCCGGAAGAACATCACCCTATGAATAAAAGAACATTACCTATAAATAGAAGAACATTATATATAAATAAAAGAACATTACATATAGATAAAATAACATTACTTATAAATAAAAAAAATCATATTTATAATAATTTATTATACATTACAAACGAACATAGAGTACATCAAAAAGAACATTACATATAAAATACAGAACATTACATACAATAAAAGAACATAACTTAAAAATAAGATAACATTACATATAAATATAAAAGAACATTATCTTTCTGAAAAAGAACGTTACATATAAATAATGGAAAAATGCTACTACCCAAACCCATGGAAGAAGATGATGATGAACAACAATGGTAGTGCCAAAAATTCAAACGATCAAGTAATTTCATGATAACAAAGCTTTATATGAACAACAAACATTATTACAAAACACAAAATATAGGTAAAAATAACAAGCAAAGAGAGAGTTCACTAATGAAGCACAACCTAGGGTTTCATATTCATGAAGTAGAACAAAGATGAACAAAGAAA